AGGGACAGGTAATTCCACTGCATCCCGGCCGCCGATGGATGTGGTCGGTAGCAGATGTCACACGGAAGCTCCTGCCCATGACATCGCTCCAGGTGGGAGGCTGCAACAGACTGGCAGCGAATTACATGATGCCACCCCCTTGGGCACCAGAGCTGTTTGCGGTGCACTGGACAACCCTACCAGACAGCAAGAGGCATTGCACCCAGGACATTCTGCAACGACTTGCCTCGGCTAGCATTTTGGGTGTGGAAGGCCCAGGGTGTGTGCCATATTATGCCTATGGCTCCAGAGACCCAGTGGCAGGCCGCACAGCTGCTGGGATATTCCACAGCAATCTGACAGCAGGTTGGCGCCTCCCAGACCATTGCACCATCCTCCAGGCCGAACTCTTTGCCATCCAACAAGCTCTGCAGCATGTTCTTGCAGACCATCAGCATCCCCCCATCATCCACGTTGATTCCAAGGCAGCGATCCAAGCGCTTATGCACAGAGAGCCAAAGGACAACATACACTTAATCACATCCATCGGGGTGACCTGCAGACTCTCATGGCCCTGGGTCGCAGGGCTACCATCAACTGGATCCCAAGCCATGTGGGTATCCATGGCAATGATGCTGCAGATGAGGCTGCTAGGACTGCAACCCTCGAGGCACAGCCACGTGCTGCAATCTCCATCAGCCTCAGCCAGATTGCACTGTGGGCTGCTGGTGCGGCCAGGCGCTCATGCCCTGACCATGGGGATTCACAGGGCCTCTGTTGGTATGTCAGGGCGACCCACAGGACGCCCCCTCCAAGTATTCGACACAGTCCAGAGAACTGAGGGTGCATATCCATCACCTACGCTTAGGGTATCCGACCACTGCGTGGATTGTTGAACGGGCATGAGAAGAGCTCTGTGCCCATTGTGACCGAATGGTTCCGAAGCCCTTGGTGCACTACCTCTTAGACTGCCCGGCTACAATGCCCCTTCGCTCTAGACACTTCCCAGTGACCTCAGTGGGGCAGGCCCGAGAGGATGCGGCAGCACATCTTGTGTACTTAGCTGTCAGGGACTTGGAAACCTTACTTCCAGTCATTGCACGTCATCTGCCCCCTTCCCCGCTGAAGTTGCTGCGAGGGCCTGCTTTGGGCCTCCATTGCACTGCACACCAGCCGCTGTTAGTGCACACTAACGTTTGGTACGTCATCTGGCCATAGAGCCGGTTAGGTACCCCCCCCCTCCCCGCTGAAGACCTGCCATGCAGGTGCAAGTAAAGATAAACGACACTTCCCTACTCGGGGAGCCAATGCTGGGTCACCAAAATGGAAAAGACCCAGTCTGGGATACCATACCAGCGAATCAAATAGAATAGAATGGAATAGCTCTTGTATAAATACCGTCATTATTATGTAATGTGTAATGTACGCCATAAGTGGCAATATTATGGTTAGGAAGCCTTGAGTGGAAGGCATTTGGGGGATGGTCAAGGTGGTGTTTAGTGGTGAATTGTATGTAACAGACAAATGTGATATAAGATGGTTGGGTTAGAAGGTTCATTGGACCTTGTGTATTATCATTCTGTGAGAGTTACGATACAAGGGAAATTTAGTCCAGGTATAAGGATGCATGTTTGCATGGTAATTATATTATTTGTGTATTGATGTTTTGTAATATTGTTTTGTCATAATGTTTTAAGTATTATAAAATATGTTCCTAAACATATATGATATAGGTCTAGCTATGTGATTATATAATATCTATTGTGATGGAGGAGATAGGGGTATATGATTTATTATAGCATGTCTTTTAGTGCATTTTTGTGGTAGGATGACATATGTGGGCCACAAAGCTCTTATCTGATGTTTACTTATGCATGATGAACAGCCTAGGTGGCTCGAAGTGTATATAGCGACTGTCGAAATGTTGCGCAATTCATATGGTGTACTGTGCTTATGAATTCTATTTTGGATACCTGTTTGTTAAGGGATGGTGGTTTTCTATTTATTTATTTTTTATGTTGTAATATTACGTTTTAAATAAAATATAAAAAAAATTACACAACCCAGGGCAACATAGGTTTAGAGCAGGTCGCTCCTGTCTGTCTCAGCTACTGGATCACTACGACAAGGTCCAAGATGCGCTAGAAGACAAAAAGAATGCAGATGTAATATATACAGACTTTGCAAAAGCCTTCGACAAGTGTGACCATGGCGTAATAGCTCACAAAGAGTAATTAGTGCAAGAAAGGTATAAAATACCGACACTATGCAAGTTTAGCCACATGTGCAACGTCTGGATATCTTTATTGTAGACGTTTCGCCATTCAGTGGCTTTATCAATACAGATTATAGGACATAATTAGAAGACAGGAGACCTATATACAAAATATGAGGTAATCAGTCCCTCAGACTTGGAGTTAGTGTTCACAGCATCGAAGTTAACGGTCTCGACGATGTTTACGCATCGGCGATTTTGCCAACTTTGAATCCTATTTTCGGCAAATTCCAGTGTAATAGTCGACAAAAATCATAATCATTTCGCTAGTTTCCATTTTTTCTATCGAATGAGTACAAGAAACCACCCATTTACCGATTTCAGCTATCCAATACAGTGGTCAGAATTTAGCAATTTTGCCAATTTCACACAAATTTCAAAAGATGCCAATTTCCAAATAAGGTCCAGAATAAACTAGACAGACATTCCTAGCACTAAAATATCATCTCCTCTGTTCATTAGTCACGTCCCCATGCCCCTCTTATATTCTTTTGCTTTCCACTTTAAATTTTTACTCTCGCAAAGAAGTAGAATATTGTGAAAGAATATTAGACTCACCAGTTGACGTGTATTGGATGCTTGGCATGATTTTTTTACTTTTGAATTTTGGTAAAAATCGAATATTTCTGCTACTTTGAGCTCAATTTCAAGGTACTTTTCTTTGTAAAACCAGTCAAAATCATCTCTATTTCTGTAATATGTCTTCCATTCTATACGATGAGACCAGGAAAGCTAGAATACAACAATAAATACCATACGAAAATACAGTACAAACTCGCTCTTTTAATCCAAAAACACGGACAAAGTTTTTTTTCTTCTCATTGTGCACTGTGTGCTGCAGGATTTTTTTATACTGTGCACACTGACCACATAGACCCATTCTTTCATATGTAGGCCTACCAGCTTTCTCTCACTAGATTTGAGGGCGCTAGAATTTAGGCGTACTAGTACGTCAAAAACCCTGGTGCGTAAGCCATACTAGTATGCCCAAAACCCTGAATGGGTTAAGTATGAACTTTGGCATGCTAGTGTCAGAAGCCAGACACAGGTATGGTAGGAGTGTGGACAGTGGTGTCAGAGTGCACCTTCCATCTCACATTGGTTTTCAGATGCGTGATAGAACTGATGAAATGGCTAAGTTATATGCTTTCAAAGAGGAAGTAGATTACAATCATAGCTTGTCAGTCAGCAGTTTGAGAACAATAATACAAAAAGAACATCAATTGAACATTATTAACTTAAGACTGAGATTGATTGACACCAGTCAGTCCATCATCATTCTATCATGAAGGAGGAGCCAGATGTATATGGTGCATCTAACAAAATAAGCAAACTCTTGGATGTCACTACCACCCGGCTCCGGCTGGGCGATAGGGACATCCAGACGAAGTATTAAGGTTGCCAGATGGACTATTATCACACATTGTGTCATTTTGTACTGGAATTCGAAAAAATTAATGAATTCGGAGACAACTCGCTCAGAAATGTTAGATATGTCAAAGTATTTTATCCACAAACCATACAATGGGTGGGGTTTGAACTTGCAGACAGAGAGTCTCAAAACTCCAGACGGTCTGGAGTTTCGAGACTCTGATTGCGGGTCCTAACCCCACCCGTGGTACGTTTGCAATCGTTGCATTACGATTTCGTGAATCATTTTATCCACAGTTATATATTACAAACCGTTCTGGAAAAATTCCTTGATTTTGCTCATTGCAATTGTGATCAGGTGTTGACATGTGAATAATCCATTACCTTTGTAACTTGTTCAGCTATCATAACTTTGGGGCCGAGTCCCTGGACCTATTATGTACCTCTGTAATCTCTTTGTCTACCGCCCACAGGATGGGTATGGGGTGCGCAATAAAGATATTAAACTAACTTCAGCAACTTTGGTTATGGGGTTGAAGATCCAGCTTATTGAATAATCTATCCTAGTGATTACAAGATTTTTAAGAATTATTCTATATTGACAAAGTTGTTTCTGATTAACTAAACGTACTGTGTTTATATCCTGACCGAAAGATGGATCAGTAATTTAATGATGAAGTCGCTGAGAAGAAGTAAACTGAAATTTGTATAGTGTGATTTACCAGGAACAAAACTTAACAATATTTTGAACATAAAATAGGAAACCTGAGTCTATTCACTAAATTTCACATTCTTCCAATGCTTAATTAGGGAACAAACTTTTATGAACCTATGAAGCTTCGCTGTCGATGGTTTCAGAAGTAACAGGGACCATACTAATATTCTAGGAGGGAATTTAACAGTAGAAATTGCACAGGCAATTGTTCTAAAAATTTTGCCCTAATTACCATACACTAACTAGTCTGATAAAGACTTCACGAGCTGTGAGCAAAAAAAAAATAAGATGGTAGAGGTTCTGCTTCGTGGATGCCTCATTCTCAAGCCAATTATTTACATGAAAACTTTTTGAATTAGCTATAAATTGGACCTTTGCAACTCCAAAATATTAGTATACTAATAATTATATCCATATACAACTAGTTATTTACTCTTAATTATAATAAAATATGTACTGATGTTTGTCTGAATATCGTAATTAACAAAGTCCCTGAGTAGTTTATCAGTTTATATTGTTTTGTTTCATGAAGGGAATGACTGTAAATAATGATTCTGCATTCATCAATAATGTAGAAAAGAAAAGTAATATGAACCTGCTTCATTGTTAAGCAAAATAACACGTCTAGTACTGCATTATCACTGGAAGTTTTATACTTACTTATATAAGTGCACCAGAACATGAGAAAAATCTTCAGCGGTCAACAGAGTATCAGTATTTATGGTAACTTGAGATCCACTTTGAAAGTGTTTGTTCTTGTTCTTTGCTATCATCATGTCCACCCTGAAGTTGCCTGGGTGAAGCCAAGTTACCCCGTCATTATCACACCTGGGAAAAAAACAATGATTTTTATATTTTATAATATTAAAATAACAATACCAGGAGAACATTCAGATATTAATACAATTACCACAATCATTACTTGGAAAATTTGAATTTTCATTACTCCTGAGATACTGACAAATGTTAAATCCTCTTTCATCAGTCCTTAGCAATTTGTACTTAGAATATTTTGAAGCAAGATTGCTTAACAGAATTTTTCCTGATAGAGCAAAATGGTCGAGATATGTGGACGATGTTCCATGAGTAATGTCCAAGAATGTAGATACAAATCACTGCCTTTTTTAATTAAATAGTCTAGCTACTTCCATGAAGTTCAATGACCAGTTTGAACGAGAAAACGCATTAGTTTGTTTGGAATTTTAAATTATTAAGTGGAACCAAAAACTTAAATTCAAAATATACAGAAAATAAAAAAATAACTGCTCTTATGTTCACTATTATTTTTCATATAATGACAGGGTTAAATTTATGTATTCTTATACATGTTGTTGAGAATTCTGTGCATTTGTAGCCCAGACTTCAGTGTTGAAAATTTTATAAAGATTTATGAAATTGTATATTATCCAAAATACCCGAAAAAAAGGAATTGACAAATCTTTTAAAATTGCCAGAAAAAATATTTAAAAAAAAAAAAAATAGACGAAGAAATATACTCAAAAGGAAACAAGAAAACATTCTTGATATACTCTCTGCTTAATAATTTTAAAATAAAAGTTGTATTTAAAAATCTTGATACAATAAAATAAAATTTGACTCGAAATTCTCCCAAGAATGCTGACGTCTGTATTTATATGGTTCCCTGTAAAATTTGCTATAAAATTTATTATGTTCAAACTGGAAAAAGCCTTGAACTAAGATTACAAGAACATAAATATAAATAGCATTAGAACTGGGCATGAATCTAATGTTCTGTTTATTCTTGTAAGAGATATTAAGCATGCAATTTATTTCTCAAAGGCTGAGAACTTTGTATAAAGCAGCTCCATGGCTGGAAGAGTATAAATGTATCAAGTTCCATGAAAAAATAGCACTAATTTCAATATGAATATTAGTTCAGGGTAACATAAATTTTATTTGTTCATAATAAATATACTCTGTAAGGAATTTAACTATGCATGACATGTCATTCATAAAAAAAAATTACTTAACAAGTAACCTCACCAAATTTTCACTACAGTCCCACGCTACGTGGGTTGGGTCAGAAATTATCACTACACTCCCACGCTACGTGGGTTGGGTCAGAAATTATCACTACACTCCCACGCTACGTGGGTTGGGTCAGAAATTATCACTACACTCCCACGCTACGTGGGCTGAGTCAAAAAAATTTCTGGAACTGACTTAATCTTTGATTTAAATATAGAAATTACATTAGCAATTTTCCACATCTCTGGCACAACACCAGTTTTGATAGATGCATTAAACAAGGTCGTTAGCAGCAGGTTCCCAGGTGCATTATTTAAGTAAATTTGAAAGCAGTTCGTCAGGACCAGAGGATTTATTTTGTTTTAGTTTATCTACTTGTTTGATAACCATGTCCCTCGTGACAGTTTTCTTCAGCACTTGAATAATTATTAATTACACTAATATCATTTTTGTCTTCTTGTGTAAAGACTAACAAGAAATAATTATTAAAAAGAGAACACATTTCCTTCTCACTATCAGTAAGCTGCCCACCTCCAGTTTTCAGTGGTCTTATTTTACTCCTACACACTTCAAAGAACCCTTTTGGGTTTGTCCTCGATTTTCTAGCTACTTTAATTCTAGTCACGTTTACCCTTTCTAATTCCCTTCTTTACCTGACATTTAATATGGACATATTGGTCAATAATGTTATCCTCTCCTCTTCTGAAGCATCATAAATTACTTTCTTACCTGGAGGTTACCTGGAGGTTATTCCGGGGATCAACGCCCCCGCGGCCCGGTCCATGACCAGGCCTCCCGATGGATCAGGGCCTGATCAACTAGGCTGTTACTGTTACTCTCCAAATACATACTTCAATCGTCTCTTCATCCATTTAGGGTCATTTTACTTTTCCTAATTCCTCCCTTGTTAATTATTATCCTTGGGGTATTTTACGGTTGCGAAACAAGCTTCTTTCTCCTCCTCTCTCTCTCTCTCTTCCTCTCTTCTCTCTCTCTTACACAGGTTTGCAAGGTTAACGATCTTAGCTTCATTGACAAGCTATTTAGGTTAGGATTTCCTAAGTTTATTATGGCAAGCTAAGAGCTGTTACCTACATCAGCTCATTTGAAAGCATTTTTATTGTTATGAGACATACAAGTAGGGAACAGGATAAAGTAGGAGCCATCTGTGGGCCAGCATTTTTATGTGATCAACTGATTTTATCTCGTTGACATCATTATGTGTTCCATACTCGAGTCATCCTGGGTATATATGATCTCAGATGGAGTGATGTTCTGGAGAAGGGTACAGCCATAGTGCAGTTGCTGCTTTCTGCCCTTCTTGTGGCAAAAAAGCTTGTTTCACGCTGTCCTCGAAGTGGATCCAAGTGTGGTACTTTGACACTATTGGCCTTATACATAACAGTAAGGCCACCCACATCCCTCCTATGCTGAAGGCTCTGCTGAAATGACAGATCTATCCAGGATGTGTGCTCGCGAGAGATGAGACGTCTTGCTCTGTTCTCCACTCTGTCAAGCAGTCGCAGATGAGAGGGGGGACAGGCAAACCAAGAAAGTGAAGCATACTCAAGGTGTGACCGTACTTGTGCCTCGTACAGAATCTTGCAACCCCTACTGTCAAGCAGATGCGAGTTTACGGCGAAGTGCTGTAAGCTTCCTGGCTGCCTTGTTTGCTAGATTTACAACATGGTTCTTCATGGTTAGTTTGGAGTCAAATTTTACCCCAAGGATATCAACTTCTTTCCAGGTGCCAACACCCTCCCATTCATCCTTACTACTGCACCAGCATTACCATCATGGTCCCTAGAGACGATCATCATTTGCGTTTCTCAGGTGCAAATGTTACTTGCCATCTATTTCCCCAAGCTGATATAGCCTCTCAGCCTGGTGATTGATGTAGCTTAGAGCACTGGCATTCTTCTTTTGGGATAAGGAATGTCAGTGTACAGTCATCTGCATGTGCATTGTGATTCTGGGTTTAGATGAAGAAGGTCATTTGAAGTAACTTCCATAACAAGGGTCCCGCACGTTCCTTGTGGAACACTTGCCCCAATAGGATGTCTTGCTGATTCCGTTCCATTGAGAACTACACTTAGAGATCTACCATGAAAGTAATCACTGAGGAGACATAGCGTAGAGCCTGCAATTCCCAGTGCTTGAGTTTTGCTAAGAGGCCCTTGTGCCACACCCGGTCGAAAGCGCCAGCAATGTCCAGTACTACCACACAGCTGACTTTGGATTCATCCAGTGACTGGTGCCACTTAGTGGAGAGGTTTAACAACAGATCAGCATCAGAGTAACCTTTCTGAAGCCATATTGACGATCACTAAGTAGTGAGTGGCAGTTAAAAAACTCTGTCATTTGTCTTGAAATTATTGTCTCAAGGATCTTACCAGTGATTGACAGGAGTGACACTGGTCTGTAGTTGCTGTTTTCTGCTCTGCTCTTCTTTATGTGAACAGGGACTACATTTGCCTCTTTCCATAGAGAGGGCCATTTACACTGTACTAGGCAGTGCTGAAAGATGCGAGTTAGAGGTGCTGCTAGCTGGTCTGCACATCTCAGCAATCTTGGGCTTAACTTGTCTGGGCCCACAGCCTTTTCTTGGTCAAGCAATTTAAGAAGGAAATGCACCTCCTCCTGCCTTATTGTCACCACTGACAGTTTTGACACAGTTCTTGCAGCTAGCCAAGGAGGGTCCCTTGCTGGATCAGGAACTTGCATTTTGGTAGCAAAGTGTTCAGCAAAGAGGTCCGCCTTCTCTTGACTACTAGTGGAGGTGGGCCAATCCTGTCGATTTAGAAGTGGAATGAGTTCATCAGGCAGATAACCTTGTCTGTCCTTGACCAGGGACCACCAGGTTTTGGAGCCTACCCTACCTGATGCTAGCTTTCTTTTCGTGTCCACCTCCCATTCAGCAATGGCCCACTTTTGAACGTCACCCATATGCCTACAGGCTTGCCTGTGCAAGTTCCTGTTATAGGTGGTAGGATGTCTCTTATACCTTCGCCATGCTTTGTACTTAGCAGTAGCAGCCTCTATACAACGAAAGCCAAACCAAGGCTGATCTAAAGGCATCGTCACATATTGCCGGGGAGGAATGTGTTCTTGTTGTAGATTAAGGATATGTCCAGTGAAGGCTTTCACTTGGTTGTCAACATTCCTTTGGAGAAAAGCATTCCAATCGGTGGTGGCGAGCTCAGAGCAAAGGGCTGGCCAATTACCTCTTTCCCAAAAGCCAGGTTGTGCGTGTGGACTCCTCACCTCGTTCTGTTGGGATCTTAAGTGTCGTAAAAACAGCCTTGTGGTCAGACGATCCAACGTAGCCGAGCGGTTGACAAGTGACTATGCCTTCTGCCAGATCACTCACTACTGGGTCAAGGGAGGAGCCAGGATGTGAGTAGGAAAATTAACAGTTTCTCATGTCAAATACTGAAAGAAGGTCATCAAAGTCCCTCTGTATAAGGTGTTGGTTGAAGTCACCAACAATTATGATATGTTCACAGTTGTGTTGTAGCAGAAGATAGTCCATGTTTTCCATTAGGAAGTTGATGGGGTCTGCATGTTGCCACTGAGGTCTGTACATTGCACATGCTAGTACAGAGATACCAGTGTTAATGTAGAGCTTGAAGAACATCATTTCAAGATGAGTAGGGGTGGCTACATCAATGTGCTGGGCATGAACACGGTTAGAGATGCACACAGCAACACCTCCTCCTTGCCCTTGCCTGTCTCTTCTCATCCATGAGGTGTAGCCAGCAATTCTTGCAAAATTTTCGGGAGTCCTGTCATCTAAAGATGTTTCAACAACAGCTATCATGTCGGGACATCGAGTATTC